TGGTTAACGAGTACTAGATACTTCTTCTGTCTGTCTCTGATTCTTTGAACAAATGTCAATTTAACTCTTTTCCTCCGCAAGCCGCTGATAGCGGCGTTTGATCTTTTTTTTAGTTATGACTGCAAGCCGCTGGTAGCGGCTTTCAGTCATAATTTAAAAAAATCCTGTTTTGTGCATAAATTAGACACATAATTTGTTTTTTCTTAAAGTTTAATTAGTTCTCTACATAATCAAGTACAAGTATGAGCCATAATGTTTCACTATAATTAGTTATCACTTGACAAAGTTATAAAATCTCAAGTTATCCTAGATAAAAAAAAATTTCTTTAAATTTAGTTCGTAATTAGTAAAATAAAGCAGCGTTAACACTTTAAAATTTAACTTATCGAAGCGTGCGGGTATTTAGCTAAGTAATTACAAAGGTTTTTTTTCAAGAAAAACGTTCTTTTTATACATTAAATAAGTTTTTTTTCGGACTTTATGTTTTATTTATTTTATTTTTATTTTTTAATGTTACTATTTATAAAAACTATGGTTTAAGTACCTTGCATTTCTTACTGTTCAACGATGCGTGTTAAAAACTTATTTAATTAAAAAGTTCATTTGTTTATCTTTCAATTAATATACAGTTTGTAACAAACTATATATTAATTGAACAAAGCTAACAAATTGTTACGCTTTTAAAGAAATATACTATTCGAATTTTAATTGGTTTTTTATGTTATTTCATCCAAATTTTATTCAAAAAAACGTTCGGTCACAGCAAAAAGATTTTTGTTAAAACGGCGGTAGCGAAATAGTTAAGTGTTGTCTATTATATTTTATTTATAATTTAAGTATTTAACTGACAATATTCTTATCGATTGAAAAGGTAGTGTATTACTTCAATTCTACTTTTGTACGCTAGCAAGTAATAAGTAAATATTTTATAATTACACATTTCTTACGTTTTTTAACCATGTCTGAGAAAAAGAGACATCAGTAAAGAAAAATAAAGAAAGTCAAAGAAAAGCTATTTTGAAATATTTTCGTGCAGAAACACATTCTACAGGTACTGATTCTGCTACTGACAGCGATAGCGGTGTGAGTAAAAAATCTAAAGTGATAGTTGACGATAAAACTGTTAATAATGCTAATATTTTAAATCAACAAAAGGAAGTTGTAAATATCAATAAAAACCAAACTTATCTACCTGAAGCAACTCCTGCTGTTAATATTTCAAGACAAATTGAAACTGAAACTCAAATTAGCATATTATCATCTGCAGACTACAGTGACCCTGCAAATTGGCTTACTCATTTTAGTGACAATTTTCGGCAATTTGTTATAAAAAATAGACCGCAACAAATTGAAAAATATAACTTTCCACGAGATCGAGATGAACAAAAAAGAAAATTTTCATCAATATATTACAAGCGGACATTACCAAATGGAGAAGAAGTCTCTCGTTCTTGGCTTATATATTAAGTTTCAAAAAATGTAGTTTTTTGTTTATGTTGTAAATTATTTAGTAAAGCAAAAGTAGTTTGCCGGCTTTAGAAGGTTCAGGTTTAAACGATTGGAAGAATATTGGAGCACTTCTTTCTTCTCATAAAAAAAGTAATTCCCATCTCGTAAATTTTCAAATGTGGAAAGAACTTGATATACGTTTATCTACAGAATAAACTATTGATCATATTAACCAACAAAATATTAATGAAAAAGAACAATATTGGCAACGAATTTTATAAAGATTAATTGCCTTAGCCAGAGTACTGGCTACGCAAAACTTGGCATTTCGTGGAACAAATGAAAAGCTTTACAAAAACGCCAATGGTAATTTTTTAAAATTTGTTGAGTATCTTGCTTTATTTGACCCATTAATGATTGAACATGTGCGGAAAATTAAAAATCAAGAAATTAAAACTGCTCATTATCTTGGAAAAGAAATTCAAAACAAATTAATACAAATACTAGCAAATGCTGTAAAAGATAATATCTTGACTAGAGTAAAATTTGCTAAATATTATTCTATTATTTTAGACTGCACCCCAGATAATAGCCATACAGAACAAATGACAATAATAATTCGTTTTGTTGATTTAGAATCACCAACATCGCATGATGGGAATTTAGTTAAAATTAAAGAACATTTCTTAGGATTCATACTAATTAATTTCCCAATTGAAAATCTCCGTGGACAAGGATACGATAACGGAAGCAACATGAAGGGTAAGGAGAATGGGGTACAAAGAAAAATTTTGGATATAAATCCTCGGGCGTTTTTTATTCCATGCAGCGCACATTTACTAAACTTAGTTGTGAATGATGGATGCAAGTGTAGCTTAGATGCAATAAGTTTTTTTGGCGTGGTGCAACAGATTTATAGTTATTTTTCGGGATCGCCGAATCGTTTTCAAGTTTTTCGTAGCTATTTTCCAGATTCTACTGTCAAGTCATTAAATGATGATGGAAAGCCGCATTAATGCTTAAAAACCATTACGATACAATCTCGGAAAAATTTACAATGCTTTAATGCAAATATTTGAGGATCCGAGATTACAAACTACATCAGTAGGAAATTCTTCCCAAAATGAGGCTAAAAGGCTTGCAAATTCTATTTGCATATTCAAGCTCATGGTTACCCTTGTTTCATGGTACGACATTCTTTTTGAAGTTAATATTTCTATTAAAATATTACAAAATAAGAAAGTTGATTTGAATGTAGCTACACAACAATTAAATATTACTAAAAACAAACTTTTAAAAATGAGAAATGATGAAGGCTTTTAGAGAATTATTGTTGATGCTGCTGAAATTGCAAAAGAATTGAAAACAGTGACAAATTTTGAAGAAAAACATGTCGGGAGAAGGATAAAAAAGCGACAGTTCTATTATGAAACGCAAGATGAAGCGTTGCAAGATTTAAAAAAAAAAATTTACAGTTGAATTTTATTTTAAAATTTAGACACTGCTATACAGTCTATTGCGGAAAGGTTTAAACAAATGCGACAGTATAATAGTATGTTTGGCTTCCTTCATGATGTTTATTCTATAAGTTCAAAATCTTCAGCAGAATTATTGAAAAATTGTAGAAATCTAGAAGAAATTTTAACTCATGGTTCTCAAAAAGATATTAGTGAAGCGGATCTTTGTAATGAAATCAAAGTATTTTCTGAAAGACTCCCACAACAAATGACACCACATGAAGTACTAACTTTTATAGTTGAACAACGTTTAATTGACTGTCTATCAAATATATGTATTTCTTTAAGAATACTATTAACACTTCCAGTGTCCGTTGCAAGTGGCGAGCAAAGTTTTTCGAAGTTAAAAATAATTAAAAATTATTTGAGGTCGACAATGTTACAAGAACGACTGGTGGGATTATCAATAATTTCGATAGAACACGAAGAATCATCAATATTAAATTTGAAAGAAATTGTAAAAATATTTGCAACAAAAAAAGCTAGAAAAATAAAAATTTAAATATGCTTTTATTTTTATTATTACATATTTCTAAAATACATATGAACTTCCTAGTTTCTGAAATTCAAGTTCTCTAATAATTTATACATCAAATCAGAAACAAGTTTTTTTATTATTTGTAACTATATTATGTTCCAAGTTTTCAATTTTTATTCTTAGTTCTAGATTATTACTTATTATTATTTCTTGAGATAAACAAAGTTAATTATTATTATTTTGGTGCGATTAAATATTAGGAATAGTCTTCATTAATTCTATTAAATGTCACTTTTATTCTTTGAATGTCATAAAATCTCAAATATTTAAATTCTTGTAAAAAAAGTTGAGTGGCTGAAATCTTAAAATGTCAAAAATAAATATTTAATACTTAAACATGTCCACCATTTTATAATGTTTATGCCATATAAAATAAAATTAATATTTATGTTTTTGCTCTTTCAAATTAAAATATTTTTTTTCAGAGGGTAGGGGGGGTGAATTTTTTTTGCCTAGGACGCCAAATACCCTAGCGCCGGCTCTGTATATACTCTTGCATGGTAGTTAAAAAAAGTTTCCTATAAACTGTAGTTTTAAGGAGCGCGTTAATAAACCAGACCAGAAAAAGTTTATAAACTTAAATTTTTTTTTTTTTTAAATGATAGACTGCCTGCCCAAACCAAACCCTCAGTCAATGTAGCAGCACTCCCTTGCGAGTCAGGCTATTTGTCAGTCGTTGTAGCAGCACTCCCGTGCGAGTCAGGCTATTTGTCAGTCGATGAAGCAGCACTCCCTTGCGAGTCAGGCTATTTGTCAGTCGATGTAGCAGCACTCCGTAGCGAGTCAGGCTATAAGATAGTCGATGTAGCAACATTTACGCATGTTTTAAAAATGTTTTTCAACAAAACAAAAACAAAAACACTACTAATTAAAAAAACTTTCTAGTCGTTATTATTGCGGTTTTTTAAAAAATTTTGAAAAACCAATAAAAATTAATGTACTTCCGCATTAATTTAATTGCTTTGACATTTTGACGACAATCAAATAATGCTTACGAGACGAGGTAATTAAAATTGTAGTCGAAAGAGACTTTTTTTACATTAAAAGACTCTTTCGACTACACTATAAGGATATATAAATATATATGTATATATATATATATATATATATATATATATATATATATATATATATATATATATATATATATATATATATATATATATATATATATATATATATATATATATATATATATATATATATATATATATATATATACATACATATATATATATATATATATATATATATATATATATATATATATATATATATATATATATATATATATATATATATATATATATATATATATTTATATACATATATCTGTATTTACTTAACACGCTGACTTAGTATTAAACTTTTCAAACTATTTAAAACTTTTTCCCTCTTTTTCTTTTATTTGACCAAACAATTGATGAACTTTAATATTTCTTTCATAAGATTATTAAGGGTTTATATAAAAAATAAGATTATTTTTAACTGTTACATCATGCAGATGTTCTCAAACTGCAATACTGCCTAGACACAATAATTATTGAAAAAAAACCTTTAAATTTAATATTACAAATTAAAAAATAAAAATTAAGTAACATACAACAAGCTGTATACAAAAATACTTTACCTTATTTTATTTTGAACTGATAAGTTATCTAAAATTCAAAAAATTTAATATTTTTATTTTGATTTTTTAGTAAGTAGTAAGTAAAAGATAAACTTTTAAAAAAATAGTATTGGTGTTGTTATAAATTTAAAAAGGACATTAATACTTATTTATTTTATATGTTTCGCAAATACATTATACAAACGGAATATGTTATATAAACGGAAAAACTGTTATTGCTGTTAAATTATTCTAACCTTCAAATTCTTTTTCAATATCAACTACTATGTCAAAACGCTTAAAAGTTATTAACTGTGTTTTCAATTTCTCCCATGATAGATTTCCATTTATTTGTTTCCATTGTTTTAAAACATTATAAGCTTTTTCATAACATTTTATATAATCAGAGTCGATGTTATTGAGATCTGAGTCGCTTAAACCTAGATGTCTTCCCCATCTTAACCAATCATTTCCGATTTTGTAACTTATTTCACCACAACATCTTGGAGTCAATTCAACTAAATTCAAAGTATTTTGTGACACTAGTTCTTACAATTTAAGTTTTTAAAGAAAAAACTAAAATAATATTTGTAAAAAAACAAAATAAAAATTGAAATGAATAAGAAAAATTATATAAGCAATTAAAAAAAAGTTTGAAAAGATAAACACTACAGATCAGCTTTAATGGGTATGAATAAGTGGTGAATTGTATACAAATTATATTCGAAAAGAGCTGTGATGCATTAAAACGGTCAAGAACCAAAAGTTTGTAATCTAGATAGATACCATTAAAAAGTTGAAAAAACTAAAGAATGAACTCAAAATTTTATCAACACCATAATACACTTTTAGTATCTTATTTAAAACAGCTTATAAGCAAACATCTAATTAAATCAAAAACTGTAAAATGTATAATTACATAAATAATGGTTTAAATTTAATGTATACTCTTGAGCGTTAAATGAAGAAAAATTGCCATAACTTGAAACATATTTCATTTCAGCCAAGTTTCAAACTAATGGGAAATTGGTTTAGTCGAACACTCATTATATTGAGTGTTTGATATTATACTTATAACTATTTACTATGGTGCCTTGTAGGTTCAATTTATTTGGAACTAACTGTATAACAATGATATATTATATTGACTAGATGCCTAACTTTGATTCAAAAAGTGAAGTTGCTTTTGCCTATTTAAATGGTGGATTAAATTTGTAAACAACTATTATTTAACCTTTTTTTCTTTCTTAAAAATAAAGTACTTAATATTTTAAATATGAATAACATTTATGTGGAAAGTTTTAGGAAGAAATTAAAATACTTGTAAAATTACAATTTATGGTTCCTAAAATAATTTTTGATGAGAGAAAGGGGAAAATTTTTGAATAGAGAAGTGAAACGACAGACAGTTTTTAATCATTTTAATGAACTATAATACTTTTTTTTTTTTTATGAGCTAGGCTCATAAAAAACTTTTCATAATATTTTATAATTGTGAGAATAGCTTATTTATTTATTTTTTAAATTTTAAGAAATTTATGATGTTCCTCACTCACATTTTTACTTTTTATTCCATAAATCAGCTTTAGCTTTTGTCTTTTTATAAATGGCGTACTATACTTATAAACAGGGCAGTGGAGTCGTAGTCGTGGAGTCGTAGTCGCGAAATTTTTAGCGGAATTGGAGTCGCTAAACAAAATTGCGACTTAGATTCCAATATTAAAACTTCTCCGAATAGCACGTGCTTGTAGAAAATATTTAACCATTAAAGAGTTTTTCACATATTTGTAAAAAGGTTTTTTTTTATTATTGCATTATACTTTTTAAAGAATTCAAAGAACGTTTCAAATATTTTGCTTTGATGTCGGAATCATACTCTAAAAACTTTAACATTTAGAATTGGAGTCGGAGTTATTACTTTTGCGATCTGAAGTTAAGACTAAATAAAATAATGTTGCTTCAATTTAAGAATTAAATAAAGACTTTGCTCTTCCGTACGCATACAATGTGCATTTATAATTTCACTATCTTCTTGAACGCTAAACCATACTCCGGCTACTATATAACTACTATATAAGGACTATATAAGTAAAATTTATATCATTATTGAGATTTAGGAGAATGTTGTGAACTTAACCATTAGCTACATTATTGCAAGGTTCAAGACCTTTGCGGAACTCTAAATTAAAACTTGCATAACTGCTTAAAAAGTTGATAAGAAAACATATTTTATAACCACAAGTTAGGTTTGGCCATTTGTCTTAACAATTTGTTAACTCGCATTTTTTTTAATAAAGAACATGAACCAAAAAAGTTCTCAAAAGTTTTGTATATTTTTGCGCATCTCCTTTTCGCCTAAAAATTAACACACTCATAATACTGAAATTACATAACTGTCAATTTTTTTTTTTTTTTGTTGATTTAGGTGCCCCAGGAAGTCCTTACGGGCTTATCACAGAGCACTGCGGAAGAGCATTTAATAGGAAGTTCACGCCTCCTTCCCAACCGATGTCTCAAAACTTGCTCAGAGATGGGGTTTCAACCACGGATCTTACGTTTCTGAGGCAAATAAAATAGATATTAAATCAATTTCAAGAAACCGGTTTTTAACAACATATTTTTAAACTTTTTTTCCACATATCATGACAAAAAAAACTTTTGCGGAGGTTTTTTATATAAATATCAAGAAAATCAGTTATTTTAATCCACAACATAAAGTCTAGGTATTAATCAAAGAATTATAGAACAGCGTATTAAAAGTCTTTCAATCTAGACTTGTCTAGTTTACTGAAGATTAAGTGGGATCAATCCTGAGCAGAACTAATGTAAAGCATAGTTAACAAATGCTGCGATACCTAAAAAAATCCACAATAGATTAATAACCTCAGCAAGAAAAAAACGCAGATCTATGACTCAAAAGATGAGTGATTTAATACACACCTATGGCTGGCACTTCACTTATCAGGTTTAGAGTTAATCAGAGTTAAACTAACTAAATGCATATTAGAAATTAGTTCCTTCATTATAACAAAGAAAAAAAATAGGCATTAGTTATGGGGCAGTAAAAAAAAAGTAAATACATAAATAAAAAATAATCATAAAGCATATAGTTGAAAAATCATATGCGATATTTGTAGTTAAGGGTATAAAACGTTATATAAAACTTTCAAAAGTTTTAACAATATTTAAAAAGAAACAAAAGAAACAAACAAACAAAAGAAAAAAGGAAAAACCATAGTTGTATAAACAAATACCTATTTTAGTAGATCTGGGTGATTCTGAATTCCCCATTTTTATGTGCGAACCTCACATAAGACAACATCAATAAACTAAATGAAAACTTAAGGCATAATTAAACTAATATTATGATTATTTTTGTTTTTATTACGATACGAGTTTATTTTGTTTTTATACTGATAACTGGTTTATATTATAAAAGTATATATATATATATATATATATATATATATATATATATATATATATATATATATAATATATATATATATATATATATATATATAAATATATATATATATATATATATATATATATATATATATATATATATATATATATATATATATATATATATATCTATATATATATGTATAAATATATATATATATATATATATATATATATATATATATATATATATAATATATATATATATATATATATATATATATATATATATATATATACATATATATATACAGCGGTGGCCAAAAATTAAAGACCACTCATTTTTAAATTGGTTTCTTAACCTTTAAATCAAAATTAAGAAGATTCTAATTGACATATTAAATTTTTTTTTTCAATATCTTGTTAATTAAAACATACGGATTAAAATGGTATAATTTTTTTAATCTAATTCTAATTAAATAGCGTTTAACTTATTAAAAAACTAATGAGTACTTATAAATCTTCTGTAAATAAATTGGACAAAATTTAACGACCAAATCTTTAATTTGCACTTATTAAAAATAATAATCGATTATTTTTTTCAACTGTCTTAATTGCTTATTACGTTGGCTATAAAATAAAATGTCGAAACCTGAGTTTCGATATCAAATAAACATTTATTTTTTGAATTGCAATAAGGATATAAAAATATTGCAAAAATGCGTGCAAAGATCGAAGAAGAAGACAGATACGCGGCTCTTGTATTAAAAGAAGAAGGCTATAGCATCAGACAAATAGCAGAAAAGCTCGAAAGTTCTCACTCTTGCATTATTAACATAATTCAACAATACAAAGAGACCGGGTCAATTAATGATCGTCATAGGACTGGACGCAATAAAATTTCAAATGACCGTGATGTTCGCTCTTTAGTGAGATTAATGAAAGAAAACAGACAAGCATCATCTACAGACTTGTCTACGAAATGGACACTGTCAAATGGTCTGAAAGCAAGCCCTAGAACTGTGCGAAGGGTCCTCCACAATTTAAATTACTTATAGCGTGCTGCTGCAAAAAAACCACGCTTAAATAAAAAATAAAAATTTGCCAGGATAGAGTGGTGCAAACTACATAAAAATTGGTCAACAGATCAGTGGAACCGTGTGGTCTTTAGTGATGAAATAAACGTTGAGATAGACAACAGAAAAGATCGCGTTATGTTGCGTAGACTTCCAAGCGAACAGTTCGATGATTCATGCATTTTGAAACGAACAAAACAAAGCAGTAGTTCAATAGGCATTTGGGGCTGTATGAGTGCCTGTGGAGTTGGCGTTTTTCATTCATTCGATGGTAGACTCAACAAAGAAAGGTACATCGAAATTTTGAAAAACTCGCTTATTCCTAGCATTGATTTATGGCAGTTGCAAGATGGATTTATTTTCCAGCAAGATAATGCGCCGTGTCATAAAGCGCATGTTGTTAGCGATTGGTTTAATTCTAATAAAATTCAAGTGCTTCCATGGCCTGCCAATAGTCCAGACTTGAATCCAATAGAGAATATTTAGTCGTGGCTTGATCACAAGCTTGGTAAAGAACAACTTTACAATTTGGAAGATTTGAAATCTTCTATCTCTTATCATTTGAAAAATGTGCCTGATGAAGTAATCAAAACTTTAATGAATTCAATGCCAGAACGAGTACAAGAGTGCTTGAAAACAAATGGAGGAACAACACGTTTCTAAATTATTTTTTTATTGCTTTTTGAAATTTTTTTGAAACTGGTCTTAAAATTTTGTCCAATTTTTTTTTCAATTTATATTTTTTACTTGTCAGTTTAATTTTTTAACATTATTTTGTAAAAAAATTTTAAATTCTTTTATAATAAATATAAAATACAATAAAAATTCTTTCTAAAAATGTTTTTCTTTTTTTGTTAACTTTTTCCAAAATAAAATTATACTAAGGTTAAAAATAAAATTTGAAAAAAAAAAATGAGTGGTCTTTAATTTTTGGCCACCGCTGTATATATATATATATATATATATATATATATATATATATATATATATATATATATATATATATATATATATATATATATATATATATATATATATATATATATATATATATATATATATATATATATATATATATATATATATATATATATAGATATATATATATATATATATATATATAGATATATATATATATATATATTTATATATATATATATATATATATATATATATATATTTATATATATATATATATATATATATATATATATATATATATATATATATGTATATATATATATATATATATATATATATATATATATATATATATATATATATACATATATATATATATATATAAATATATATATATATATATATATATATATATATATATATATATATATATATATATATACATATATATATATATATATACATATATATATATATATATATATATATATATATATATATATATATATATATATATATATATATATATATATACATATATATACATATATATTTATATATATATATATATATATATATATATATATATATATATATATATATATATATATATATATATATATATATATATATATATATATACTAAAATAGGTTAAATAAAAAATGCAACTTTATAACAGAACTTAAAGTTTCAAGACTTTTGGATATCATCCGCCATAATATTCAAAGTCATAAAATGAAAACTGTTATAAAAAATACAAGTTTAGCGTTGCAACGGCATCTGACGTCTAAAAAACGAGACCCGGTATTTGCTAATTGCTAGAGTTAAAATGAAATAGTCAAAAAATTTATCTTATTTTATATATTTTATATTATGCTTGGCATCTTTTAGTTATTTTCCACTCAATTTTAGGCCTGTTTCTTGTGTCTTTATGTTTTTCAAAATTATTTGAAAAGTTCTCTATTCTGTTATTTTTATACCTGATTGCATTAAAGGATTTAAGACAGTTTGCAAACCTAAGGTTGAATGCGTTTCCACTAATATCGATGTAGGAATTCAGCAGCAACAGAAAATTTCCACTGTTTAGAACAAGATCAAACTCAGGAATTTGTGAAACTATAGCATTTTTTACAGATGTTAACATGAAAAATTTCATGTTGCTTCAATTTTGGAGGAGATTGTTCAAAACCGTTCCGAAAACAGTAACCAATGTAGGCTTTTACTTTAATAATACTTGCAGTCAAATAAAAAGCAAATTCATTATGCGTTTCATAGCACAACGTAAAGTCAAGTTTTCAAAAAGTTGTGTTTAATGAAGCTTCTTAGCTGATAAAAATGCCACATGAGTATTTGACGGTATGATAAACAAATGTTTGTAAAGAATATGAAGTTTCAGTATGCATTCAATGGAATTGTACTTCAATATACATTAAAATTTTTTTTTTAATAATCTTTACTTCCGTCAAGGTTGCAAGCAACCACTATTAGTTAGAAGTTAATAGAGAAGTTAACGGAAAATGGAATATATGGAAAATAGAATATATGGAAAATAGTTAATGGAAAATGGAATATATGGAAAATGGAATATATGGAAAATGGAATATATGGAAAATGGAATATATGGAAAATGGAATACATAGAAAATAGTTAATAGAAAAGTTAAGAGTTAGAAGTTAATCGAAAAGAAAACATGAAGTTTATTGAGCAAGATAACAACTAACAGACAACCTAAAAGATTGTAAACTATATAAAATAGCAAAACACAATAAAGGGAGTGCATTCCAAAAAATTTATGTTCAATGAAGAAAAAACTAGAAGCAAATGGTTTTTTGGACTTAGAAAACAGTCACATTAAAAAAATGAGACTTATTTAAATGATGAGTTACACAAGAATGAATATTAGTAAATGGTACAAGAGACGCTAGCTCTTTAGAGCAGTGTCCATTAAAGTATTTAAAGAAAAGAAATATAAACAATATTATAACAATTTGATAATAATTGGAGGTCGGCCAACTATGTGTACAATGCGTTTTTGCACTTTGCCTACAAGAAAAAATTCATCATTGGAGGATTAGCCTCAAATATACCAACAGTATTCTATTCAAAGGCAGATTTGAGATTTAAAGAAATAAAGAATAAAATCCAGAGTAATAAAGTGGTGAGAGAAAAAAAGATATGCAACTTTAGCAGGTGCTAATTTCGCAATCGATTAAATATGTGGTTTCCAAAAAAGACCAGGTTTAAGAATTAATCCTAGAAGTTGAAGGGTAGATGACTCATAGAGTATATTACTGTTCTTAAAACCTGGATTGTTTCAATAACGATTAAAGAAAAAAAAAAAAAAATTAAAGTTCACCAGCTACTGAAAGCCCAGTGTTGATAAAACATTGCGATCCTTTTCAAGCTCAAATGCCCCCTCTAACCAATCAGAGAGTGTTGAGTTCTTATTAGGACAAGAATTAATGGTATTATTATATATTAAAAATATAGGCATTTAAAAAATTGAATCATGTATCCTCTTGATCTTTTTTTTGTCAAGGTAATCACGTTGAGAGCTTTTTATTCTTATATTTGATTTTCTTGAGTGATAGTAGTAATCAAGTTGCGTGATGTTAGACTCTTATAAATCAGTTTCACCCTTTCAAATAGGTGACCAAACTGGTACTGTAAACTCTAAGAATGGTTTCACAATAAAAAAATAAAATTTTCTCAAGTGTTCAATATTTAAATAAACAAAGTATTTTCTAATCAGACCAACCATATGGTTAGTTTTGCCTATGCATGTTATTACATGATTTTTCCATTTCAGATTTCTTTAGTACATTTTACTTTTACAGTCATTAATATTACTTAGTACTTAAGTATTTTTAAAATATATGGTTTAAATCCAATAAACTGTCACTCAATATAGAAAAATCTAAGT